TTTATGTTTACATGCAATGTGTTAACTTCATTGATAACTATTATCTTTAAAATCCCATGTTTAGGGATAAGGATGTGACTCACTTACAGAGTGCTTGCCAGTAGGCATTAAGCCCTTAGTCCAGTTTCCAACATGACACCCCAAAAGTTACTTGTTTCCAGAGTATGCATCTACAGAGAACCTGATACAGTGAAGTTGTCTGCAGCACTTGGTAAGAATGAAGATGATACTTTACCACTAGAGTTGAATCTCAGGAACATAATATGGTGTGAAAGAAGCCAGGCACAAAGATGACATACTGTGTGAGTGGTGATAGAAACCAAAATAAGGATTCCTTAAGATTGAAAAGTGTTGACTTAGAGGAGTTACAGGGAATTTCAGGGGTACCATAAATGTTTATACTTTCATATATGGGGTGGTATATGTATGAGTTGTACATTTGTAACTTGTGCACTTTTTTGTACTTAGTTTAAATCTTAGTAGAATTTTTAAAATGTATTTAGGACAGGGTCTACAGGGTCTCACTATGTAGATCCAACTCGTAGTGAACCACCTGTTTTCAGCCTCCCAAGCACTGAGATTACAGGTGTGCACCACCATGCCCAGTCTCAAATAAGTGTCTCAGCACGCCCCCGGGGGTAGGGCTGGCACAGTATGCCAGGGATTGAACCCTGGCCATTGCATCCTGCCTAAGCAGGCGCTTTAGTCTGCTGAGCTATCTGGCCAGCCTTTAGGAGAAACTAAAAAACAAAACAAAACAAATGAAAGCACATTCGTTGAAGTGGCCTTGTAGAATTGTTGAGCCGCTACCTATTTGTCCTTGTCACAGGCTTTGTGATTATGAAACCTAATTCCTCCAACTGTTTCCAGCCTCTGTGTGCTCTAGCTTGTGCTCTCCCAGGCTACTTCTGTTTGACCAGTGGCTTTTTGTCAGTGTTCATTCCACCTTGCGCTGCTGTTATAGAAGTCAGAACTCCATAGAAGAGGTGAGCAGATCTTTTGCAATGGTAGCAGCTAGAGGTTGCAGCTCAAATGGAGAAACACCAACACAAAAAGTATAAAAATAAAGTTAATAAATATTTTACTTGATTGTTTAAAGGGCCAATTTTCTGCTGGTCAACTGCAATTCCATTCATTTCGTTATACAATATTATATGAGCTCTAATACAGTTTAATATGATGAAGAGTGAGATAAGAGATCGTATGTTTTTGTTTTGTTTTGTTTTTGAATTTGATGGTGTTGGGGATTGATCCAAAGACCTCACAATGACCCAAGACCTGTTTTAAATTTTTTTTCTTCTACTTTTTGTGACAGTGTCTTAGTTACTTGGACTTTGCTTAGAACAGTACCCAATATCTACAATTTAAACAGAGAGGTTTATTTTAGCTAACAGTTTGTAGAGGTTCCAATCAGTATTTGTCTCACTCTGAGGGAGGGTGACATGGCAAAGGAGAATTGTTCATGGCATGGCAGCAGGAATCGGAAAGATAGAAGTAGAGAAAAGGAGAGAGACCCTCCAGGCCATGCCTTCAGTAACCCACCTCCTGCAATCGGCCTGAATTCATCAGTGTACTCATCCACTGATGAGTACTGTGCCCCCATGATCCATTCACCTCTTCAGAGCCCTATGAGCTCCTGAGGCTTTAGGGCAACATGGAGATATAAACCATAACTTATGGGGTCTCACTCAGCTGCTCAGGCTGATTTCAGAAGTAGCCGAGTGAGATCTTTTCTCTGACTGAAAACTCCTGAAGTATTCAAATCATCTTTTTTTCTTTGTCTTTTTGAGACAGGTCTCACTATGTAGTTCAGGCTGGCCTTGAGCTCACTTTGTAGCCCAAGGTGGTCTCAAACTTGCAATGATCCTCCTGCCTCAGCCTCCCAAGTGCTGGGATTACAGGCGTACACTACCACACTCAGCTTCAAATCATCTTATTCATGGTTTTCTTATTCTTGGTATCCCTATTCCTAGGAGAGTGTGGCAAGCAATGGGCATTTAATAGATCACTGTTTGAATGAATAACTGAGTAAATAAATAGTGGTCAAATATAGTATATTGTAGTGCTCATTGTGGTTATGCCAGTTTTCACAGCCTATAAGATACTTGGTGAAAGTCAACTAAGATGTCAGATCTTTTTTTAGTAAAAGACAAAATTATTTATTAATTTTATAAAAGATACATTACCCTAACCCAGTCCAAGTCCCATTCAAAATCCTGTATCTCAAGTATGTTTGGTTATTTCCTTTTGTACCTTTCTGTGAAGTTAAGTACAATGAAAAAAGATAATGTTGTTTACCATATAAGCAAGCTTAATGTATTTTTTCTCAATATAGATGCTTATACTGAAATACCTGCATAATAAAAATCTATGTCACAAAGTTAGTGAACACTCACTCTAGTTTTCACTCTTTCTCCCCAAAACACAGAAGCTTAGCTTAGAATCTGTTAAGACTGTGTAATTTTCCTTCTTTTTTTTTGAGACAGTGTTTCACCCTGCAGTTCAGGCTGGCCTAGAACTCACTTTTTAGCCCAGGCAGGTCTTGAACTCTTGGCATTCCTCCTGCTTCAGCTTCTCAAGTGCTAGGATTGCAGGTGTGCCACTGTGCCCTGCATAAGACTATGTAGTTTTCTTACTGATTTGAATTGACACGTCATCTATGACATAAGTAGGTCATTTCTTTGTCCTCATTTAAAAGCTTGTGGCATGGAAAGATCCTAAAGGAAATATAGTTAATAAAGGCTTTGATTCCAGACAAGAGCACAGGGCTCCTGTTGCAGCCATGTCCTCCTTTTATATCGGCATCTGTTTGCTTCCTATCACAGACGGCACTTTTTGATATTTTTCCATGGAGGTTACTAATTTGAAGTTAGGAAGAGAGGCTTTTATAACCCCCCACCAATTTATATCTTACTGGTTTTATGAGAAAGTTCCAAACAAGGATCTGAAGATTTTATAAAACCAATTAATATCTTACCTAATTTCTCAGTTATTCAACAACTGTTAAAACGGAATTTTTTCATGAAGATGAATATGCAAGTGGCATTTACCTTGAATCGTTAGTCAGCCAGGCTTTGCTAAGCTTCTGTGTTTTAGGGAGAAAGTGTGAAAACTAGAGTGAGTGTTCACTAACTTTGTGACATAGATTTTTATTATGCAGGTATTTCAGTATAAGCATCTATATTGAGAAAAAATACATTAAGCTTGCTTATATGGTAAACAACATTATCTTTTTTCATTGTACCTAACTTCACAGAAAGGTACAAAAGGAAATAACCAAACATACTTGAGATACAGGATTTTGAATGGGACTTGGACTGGGTTAGGGTAATGTATCTTTTATAAGGTTGCACAGATTCTGGGCTGAGTCAAGAGAAATATAATTAACAAGAGCAAATGTGGGGCTTGCTTGAAAAATAAACCATGATACCTTGGATTTTACCAGCCTAGCTTTTTATTTTTTACTCTTTTGGTAGAACCCTTTTGGTTTAAAGCCTTAGCTTTATTTTTAATTTTCTAGGTAAAATTAGGGGCACTTCCTAATGAAAATTATTCATCTAGTTTCTTATTCAGCATGTACTTATCAAATTCCTATTATATATAAGCACTTTCATATACTGTAAAAGAATTAGTGATGTTCTGCTCAGTGTCTTTGCTTATGTCTGTGTCTTCAAGAGTTTTAGTTATCTTTCCAGCAGGTTAAGTGTTTGTTTTAATATTTTGATCTTTGATCCATTCTACTTTTAGTATATGGTTAAAGTTCTATATACAAACAATCTCCTGTTTGTGAATAGCCAGTTTTCCCAGCACAATTGGTTAAGTAAGGTATCTTTCCTCCAGCAATTGTTTTTGGCCCCTTTGTCCAAAGATCAGATAGCTGAAGGTACTTGGGGCAGTTTCTCCATTAATTGTTCCCATTACATTGATCCACGTGTCTGTTTTTGTGCTAGTATCAGCACTGTGGCTAAAAAGCACATCGCACTCTTTTCATACATTAAAGAAATCATGTATGCAAAACTTAACACCTAGATTTGGAAAGAATTGTAGACAGAGAAGGCCTGCCAATAGTTCATTCTTGACTAGCAGCAGCTCGTCCGTCACATTGTTTTTCAAGCAAGCATTTGGAATTCTCATACCCAAACTCAGAGTAAGGATGAATGTTTTCCCCTGGGTTTTCCGTTTGCTGCGTTTTGTGTAAGCAGTCGTGGGTTGTTTTAATGCTGTTTTCTTGCCTGTGCCCTCTCTGTGTGACTTCCACCTGTGCTCTAAGCTCTGTCCTAGGCGCAGAGGACCTGACTCACCAGGGTCCCACAAAACGGGTTCTGGGGGATGCTCTTGATAACCATCAACTCCATGAGCGATTTCATGATTTCACCTTTAGGGTTAATCGAGTGTCTTTTAGCTCAATCCTGGGTTGGGAGGAACAAGGAAATCCAGAAAGTAGAGCTGCAAGGCAATTGCGTTGCGTTCCAAAAACCCATGGGAAAAACTGAAAGCTATTTCAGGGAATACGCTGCGACCTGAGAAGGAACGGCTTTGCTCAAGTTGCTAAAACGAACGAACTGTTTTCTCTCCTGCACCTTGAACTTGCTTGCATTTCTAGGAAAACGCTGCCTTTGGGGGCCAGGGAGTGTGGTGGCCAGGAGTGGAATGCTAAGGCGAAGGGGAGCGAGTTCGCAGGATAGAACTTGATGGGCTTTGGATGAATGGGATTTTTTGGTGGGAAGTGATGAGGGAAAACCGGCTTTCTCGGTCCCAGTGTCTCGTGGTTGGCCACTGCCTGCGCGTGCGCCAGCTCCAGCCGGCTGCTAGGTCCCGGGCTCGGCCCGCACACGGCGGCGGTCGAAGGGCGTGCTCGCTGCGACCGCGGGGCACGCGGACCGGCGGGGGGCGGGGCCGCGGTGGCGGTTGCGGGGCATGCGCGGCTCCGCGCGCGGCTTCTCAAAAATGGCGGCGGCGGTGTGAAGAAGTCCTTATGGGAGCAGTGGGACAGAATTTTATTGCTCTTGCCGACGAGACCCGAGGTGCGTGGTGACTCCGAGCCCCGCGAGGAGCGGAGCGCGGAGTTGTGGCGCTGCGGCGCTTCTCGTCGTCCGGGAGCCGGGCGGCGGGGTGGCTCGCGCGGCAGGTCGTGCGCGAGGAACGCCCCCTCGGCTCGGCGCGGGCGTGCGCTGGGCTTGGCCCCGCATCCCTGCCGGGCAGCTCGGCGGCGCCCCCCCGCGACCTTTGATTGCCCGCTCTGTGGAGCGTTCTCTCCGGACCCCTCTCGGCCTCTATGCGCCGCCCCTTACTTCCCCAGATCCCTTCCTCCGCCGGGCCCATCTTGCCCCGGGGCGTTCCAGCACCGCGCCACTGTTCCGTAGCCACCTCGTCGCTGGCCGCGCGGACGGCGTCCTCCTGTGCAGCCTCCCTTGGGTAGCTGGAGCCAGGCTGAGGTCCGGTGGCACCGCAGGTGGTTGATGGCGCTGAGCGACGGGGATGACTTCAGGTGGTCTGAGATCAGATGGAGCCCAACATCTTCAGGGACTTGGGAGGTAACTTGGATTTAGGGAAGGGATGTCAGCCCGGGATGATGCGCCTGGAGCGGGGGAGCAGGCGCAGCTGCCAGGTGCGCTCCTTGGGGCTCCAGGCGGCGATGGAGGATGCGGGTGGCTGCCCTCTGAGAGAAGCGAACCCGGATGCCAAGGGCTGGTTCATCGCGAGTGGAAGGCGAGAGGGCTCCAAGTTTCTCGGAGGAACGCAAGGCGGTGTGGCCTTGCCGTCACTATTTTAGTCTAGGGACCACTGCAGCCGTTATTCAGAAATAGCCCAGAAACGTTTTTTTCTCACTTCTTTCTTTGGATGGAGTTTGTGCTCCATCTGAATGTGAAAAGCGAGAGGGAAAACGGGTATAGGAAGATTGGTAAAGGAAAATTTGTTCGATGTAGCTTCAAGGACTGAACCATGGTTGTCCCCTCCTCTCAAAAGTTTAGGCGGCTCTGGTGTTTTTTTTTTTTTTTTTAATTTTTGTAGGGGAATCGAGCTCAGGATCTTGTGCTTGCCAGGCAGGCGCTTATGCTGCGGACTTATTTCCTTGGCCCTAGGGTTGATTTTTTGGGAAAAGGTTGTTAAACATTGATTATGCAACAGGAAGTGAATTGCATCTTGAAAATTGTCTCAGGTTTGAAGAATTAGATTAATGAGTATGGCTGACCTGTATAGTGAATTAGGCTATCTGTAGAAAGGGAACAGATGGATTGGTAGGAGAAACTGAGGCAAGAAAGTAACTTAGAATTAAATGACTTTCAAAATTATTAGAGGGAGATGCTCCACTCCTCCAAAAAAAGCTAGCTTTAGATGCTGTTGCATTTTTCTTTTTTTATATGTATTTAGTACAGGGTCTATAGGGTTTCACTATGTAGATCGGACTTGTAGTGATGATTCTCCTGTTTTCAGCCTCCCAAGTGCTGGGATTACAGGTGTGCGCCACTGTACCCAGTCTCAGTCACCATCTCAGTGCGCAGGGGTTGGGGGGCGCCACACACCACCCCAGGGATCGAACCGTGGCCGCTATGCTCTGCCTAAGCAGGCGCTTTATCCGCTGAGCTATCTGGCCGACTCTTGCTGTTACATTTTAATGCTTCTAGCGTTATATATTTTTGTTTTAAGAGCATTATAGGATGTACATTTATGTATTGCAACTTCTACTGCAAACAACTTTATTATGACACCTCATAGGTAGTTTATTCTTTTCAATTAATTGTTTGAAGTGTTCTTCAATAATGACAATTTTCTTTGCCATTCTTAATTATTTATAGCATTGCCAGTGATGGATATCCTTTCAGGCTATTTGTGGCTTTATATATTTAATGAGAGGATGGTAAAATTAAGCTTGGAAGTTGGTCTTATTGGGACTTTGAGGGGAAGTTTTATGAGTACTGTATAGCCTTATCCATAACCTTAAAATAATCTATTTTTTTAAAGACAACATGGCTTTGAAATTTTTAAATAAATTTTACATATATTTTACAGTCTTCTAGGTTTCCTAATGGTATGTAGCTGTGAGGATGTTATAAATGTACAAAGAACATTGCGATCAGTCTTAAAGAGATTGTACCTCAAAATTGCAACAGGGTATTTATTAAGGCAGTTGGTCAATCCTTTTGATTTATGATTCAGTCAACACATCTGTATTAAGGACTTGACTGTCTTTTGTATGGAGTTTAATTCAGGCTACCTTTATCCATAGCCTACTGTAAATGCTAATTTCTGGATATTTCAGGCAATGAGTAGTTTATTCTTGAATATTTTAAGGTTATAGTTAAGAAAATCATACTGTAGAATAGGTAATTTTGGTGTTTTTTTTTTACTTAAAGGACACACTCAAGAATCAGTGTTTTTGTCATAATTTTCTAAGCTAAATTCTGGTTATAACTAAATTATTTCTGACACATTGATTTTTGCATGTGTGCTATTCTGTTATGATTGTATAAAGTTGTACATTTTTGAGAGATTCTAAGCATAAAATAGATAATATACTATTGATGCTTGAGGGAAAGATGTTGGTATAAAGTGAAATCAGTGTGTGCAATAGAGATTGGATATGTTTAAAATTCTGAGCAACTACATCTTCTCTGACCAAACAATACAGGCTGTAACTAGATTTTAACTGATGTTTTAAAGCACTTTCCTCCCAAAATATTTCATAAATCTCTCTAGACTATGAAATTTTCTAACAAGGGTTATGATGGTCAGCTATAAGCCAGATGGGACTCTCATTTTCTTGTGGGTTTGTTCCTTTTTAGCTGCTTGCCTGTTCCTCCCAGATGCTTCCTATCACCCCTCTTCCTGTCCCTGTTCTCTTTGCTGTTGGTATCTGTTTCCGCATCAGTGAAATGGTTGGGATAATCCTGTGCTGTCTCACTGAGAAATAATTGATGATGCTGAAGTGCCTTAAAAAGGCCGAGTAAATAATGTCTTTTCAATGAAAAGAATCTTCCGTCTAAGGGAGATCCATATTCCAGGTTTAGTTTGAGGTCTTGAGGAGGGAGGTCACTTAAGTATCTTATGATTACTTTCCTTGGGTTAATAGAAATCCTTATTGTGACTTTAGTAAGTGAACACTGGTGGTGGATGCAAGGGATCCTCTGGTATTTATTAGTCACTTCTAGTCCTTTTTGGCCTGGTTCCCCTTTCTGCTCTTTATATCAGCTCTGATCCACATGCACAGGTAAAAAAAAAAAAAAAAACAGGTGTTTTTTTTTCTTCTTTTAACTTCCTTCCTGGAGAATCCACGTTTCATAGTCACATTCCTGGTTTTAAGAACATAAAGGAGCAAAGTAGTACCTGATAGCTATCAGAATTAGTGCTGACATTTGGAGCTTGAACTGGCATCGCCAGGAGATGCTTTGTGGCTTTAAGCAAATCAAGCCCTCCCTAAGAGTTTTAGAACTATTACAGTATTAGTGCCTGAGAATTAGTACATAATATCTTAGAATTTGAAGTGATTATTGATTGCAGTAACCAAAAACCTGGAAATATTAAAAATGGCCAGTGTTGGTGATTTTGAAAGTTTGCTTTCCCTGTCTTAGAGTCCTAAATCCTTTTATCATAGGTTAAAATGCTATTAAATACTAGTATAATTTAGTGTTAAATATGTTTAGAGAGTCTAACTAGTTTGGGTTTTGGTTACTTTAAGCACAGAAATGCCTCTACTAACATCTCATTAAACATAGCAGAGGTGTTGGTTCTTAAAGCAAGATAACTAAAGAAAATTCCAGAAGCCTTCTGAGATTTGAAATGAGTATATATGTTCTTTGGTTTTCATAAATAAGGAATTTTTGGTTATTTTGCCTTTATGTTGTCTATTATAAATAAACTTGGCACCCATAGACATAATAATACTGCTGGTTTTTATGCTGTAGTTTCTGCTAAGCATATTCCTAAATCTTTTTGGTATTTGGTGGAGAGTGAAGGATTTTTGGCTTTCATGGCTGTACTATGATGGTATTTTCCCTTTTGATTTTATTACCTAGTCTAGATGAATTCTTTATTTAAATACTTAAATAAAATAAGCTTGTTGAGTCTTTGTATGAATAAAGAGCTGGGGAACATTTGGAGATAGTATGTGACTACCTACTACCCATGCCTGTGTTTATGACTATGGCTCTGCCCCTTCCTAAGTTTATAGGAGCAAATTGTTGTAAGGGCGGAAAGAGAGTGCCCACCTTTTGTGGTAACATACCATTGTAAACTCCACACAGGACAGATATATTGTAATTCTAGGGCATACCTTGAGGATCCATTCTTTTGCTTTCAGAGAAAAGTTGGTGAGTCATTCTGTTTTTTGTGTTTAAAATGCAAATTGGATTTTCCTTATTCCCTTTTTCTCAGAAAGATTAACTGGTGCAGAATTCCAGACATAAATAGTTCGGTTTGGTATGTATTTGTACAGAGTTAATTCAGTCTAGTCATAGTTAACCATGCGTATTGGTGAAATTTTTTTACATATTTGATCACTTCCTGCCTTTCACTAGTTTTAGCTAGTTTAAGATTTTAGGGTCCCCCTCCCCCTCAGTACCAGGGATTGAACCTCAGGGCCTTTGCCCTGAGCTCTATCCTCAACTCGTTATTATGAGACAGGGCCTAGCTAAGTTGCCTAGGCTGGGATCAAACTTGGAATCTTTCTACCTCCTCAAACTCCTGGAGGGCTGAGATTACAGTTGTGTGCCACCATACTCAGTGATTATTTATTTTGAATAAATCAAATATATTTCTTCAATTCTGTTTTTCTGAATATAGTTGGAAACAAACCATTATTGTCTTTTTTCTTGGAAAACATTTAAAGTATTATTTGGAAGCTTTTCAATATACTTTGAAGTTTTAAAAGTAGTAAGTAGAGTTTAATTTTAACTACTTATTTTAGAGTTTTATAAATCATTAAATCAAAGTTCCATAGTCATTGAGATGTAGTACTCAGTAGTAATTACATTTACGTATTGCTTGGTTTTAGTTTACTTTAGAAACTGCAGTTTGAGATTTTTGTGTGTTGAAATTTTGAGAAATTATAGAAATATTTAAATGAGTAATTTGCTGACACCTGCCTCCTACGTGAGGGTGTTTAGTTTTTTAGTCACTCTAAATTGTGATTTATTGCATGCTTTTCTGTAGTGTGTTGTCTAACAGGGATAGTTGTTGTGATCATTTCCATTATTTCTTGTAGGACTGGTGCTAGAAAACCGTAAATCTAGACTGTGGTGATAATAGGAACAGACTGTAACCTGATCCAGTTCTTTTGTCAAAATGTCCCACCATGAGCTGTCTGTAGTAAATTGACATGTCCTGCCATTAACTCCAGTCCTCCACAAATGCCTGTGGGTAACAGATCTTTGGGCAATGAGCTTGTGACTGTGCTTTACATAAGTACAAACTTGGATTTTACCAACCCTTGGTTTTCATGTATCTGTTTTGTGATGTAACATACTTCTTAACCAACTACATAGGTTTCATATAAATCATTTTAAATTGCTAGTGCTTATTTTAACCTATAGATGACAATTTTTAGATAGTTTAACAATTCTTGAGAGTAGCTGTCTTTGATTTATTTTGACACAGAAAAAGGTAATTTATATTTTTTTTTCTTTTTGAGACAGGGTCTCACTATGCAGTTCAGGCTGGCTTTGAGCTCATTTTGTAGCCCACACTGGTCTTGAACTCGCAACAATTGTTCAGGCAGATTTTACTAAAATATTATTAAATAATTCCTCTAGGAAAAACCTTTTCACCAGAAGGCTTGATTTGGTAAATCCTTAACTACCAAAAAATAATTTTTCAGTAATCACTGCTCAGAGATGGAATTTTGTTTTGAAGTATAGTTGAAACATTGGTTTTTTGTGATTATTTTATAGATATGTCTGAAAATGGGATCTTTGATTATTATATTGATTTGTGTGAATTGAGCAGATAATTGACCAGTCTTAAAGTGAATCATATCTGATTTAATAAGTTACATATAGCTATATGATGAATGTATATACATTTTTATCTTGTATTAGGATCATCATAATTGTTATTAGAAGCAAAACTTTAGTTAAGAGCTTTCTGTCAAAGAAATATAGCTGTAATATATTTGAATTAAATCATATATTTTTGCATTTATGTATAACAGTAATGTACCTTAAACAAAATAATGAACCATTTTTAAGTCAAAATGAAAATCTTTAAGGTGATATTTTATGGACTTAACTTCATTTTTTTGTATAAAGACTGAGCAATAGTGAAGGGCTTTTTTCTTTGCAAGTCTGAAAAGTGTCCCTTATAACAAGATAAAGGAGAAAAACCTTTCTACCTGTGCTATTTCATTAATCCCTGCTGAATTGTCTATGACTTTGCATCACTTATTTGAACCTCCTCCTCCTCCC